TTATTAATGCTGATTCATTGAAAACAACAATTGATAAAGATCAATTAGATATCGTCTCATTTTTTGTTTCGGATATCAAACGTTTTTCGGCTGTTATTCAAATCCAAATTGATGTTAATGGACGAGGATACAATGTACTAGAATATGCAATTGCATTAAAAAAGAGTGATTTTGTACGAGTATTTATTAGTGTGAGAGTGCCACCAATAGAACGAGAAGTAAAAAGTGGAAAAGAGTTCATGCACTTCGACCAATACAAATGTATTAGTTCGTTTCGACAAGAGTAATACACTCTTATCCGTTTTTTCATGCACTGCTCAAAAAACAAAGGAGGTTAGACGCTTTGAATTCAAAAATACAATGCCTTTGGAATAGGTTCAAATAGAAAAGTCTTTTTTGATATTTTTAGTGTATGTTTTTTTGGGATGTTCTTCACATAGTCAGAATATAATGTATATGAGTCTCACTTATCTCTTTCAACAAATTGGAGATATTTTTGTGGAAAAGTTGTTGTTAAAGGATAAACCAAGCTTCTCGCTAGGGGAGCTGTTTTTTTTCAGTTATCGATCAGTATCGCCGTTACGTTAGTGTAGATCTTCCGATCTAAAAGATCCACGAGAATGCAAATAAGCTTTTTCACTTATTTAGACAGATTGGAAATAATATTCTTTTGAGGAAAGGAACATCGAGAAACAATACTTATAATTTCTTTTCGTAAAAAATAAAATTTGTTGCAACAATTTACAGTATTCGCAAACAAAGAAAAGCTAACTGCCTACTAGCATATAACATGATTAATGCCAGTATTGATTCACATAAGTACACAAAAAGAATCTCAATTTTTGCAAAAAACTATGTACACACTAACGATAATTGAAAGATACATATGAGCAAAGGTAGTATGTAACTCATTACTATTATTCCAATTACTGTAATAGGGATTATTGGTGCTACTTAAATAGGAGTTATAATTAGAGCCCACATTATTTGCATACCACCCACTGCCAACACCTGGACGATTATTTTGATTTGTGTTTTGCCACGAGGATGAACCTACACTACCATACGCATTGTTTCCTGGTAAAAGATTACTTCCGGGACCATAATAATTGGTACCACTTGGATTATTCAAATTATTATTAGTGCCATACGTTTGCTGTGGATTAGAATTTGAATAACCATTATTCGTAGGATACTGGGAATTGATATTTGCACCTGCAACAATGCATTCCAATGAGAAAACGAAGAAATTATCTTTTTCTTTGCATTATCTTACCTGATGGATATGAATTTGGATAACTGGCACTTCCACCTGATAAATAGTTTGTTCCAAGTGGAGGATCATTAATATTCGTTCCATAGGATTGTTGATTCACATTCGTTCCATAAGGTTGTTGATTTGTATTCGTTCCATAGGGTTGTTGATTCAAATTTGTTCCACTCGGATAACTGTTCAGGCCAGTATTCGTATTTAAATTTGACGTACCACCGTAATTTGGATTATTTCCTGACCCATAAAATGCGCCAGGAATGGCACCGCTCGGATTACTTATTGAACCGGACCAACCTCCACCAGGTATATTGCCGTACATTGTACCTGAGGACATTTGACGACGTCGACGACGAGATCGATTTTCAACATTTGAAACTGCAAATGTAGAACAGAATTTCAGTTAAGTTTCCTAGTGTAATCTTTTAAACATAAGGCGAAAATCTATTGTAGACCTAAAATGCCCCTACTAATACTGGATTTTCAATTCATAAACGATTTTTATGTGAGAAATAATGGTCCATGTTTAACCTATAATAATGTTAATGAATCATATCTTAAAATAATAGATTCTCTTGGCATACAGCCTTAAACTTAAAGACTATATTTTAGCTGATACATTTAACCTATATACGATAGCGTTCGCGATATATTTGGTCATTTTAGTGTAAGTTACACGAAACATAGTGTGACTTACCAACCGAATAGATAATTAGTAATTGTAAAACTAAATGAAACCACTTCATAACGTATGTATTGCTTTTGAACTTTGTTTCAATTTCTTCTGCTAAATTTCTTGTACTTTACTTGCACTGTGTAGGTTATATTAGAATTAATATATGCCAATGTGTATATACATGGTCTCTTTTTGTTCCTTTATTTCAATCAACAGCACATAGTTCAGTAGTCGTAATATTATTATTATGTTAAAAACTAGTTTTTCTTCGTCTGTTTTTTTGTTTTCTATGTCTCTTCTCTAACAATTCGTTGTATAGCCATAACCATTGCGTCGCCTATATAGATCCTTCTAGCTACTCGTTATCAAGCTGAATTGTAGTAGTAAATATATTTTAACTCATTTGTATTAAAACAAGAAGACCAAATGTCGTTTGTATCAATATCGAGAAATAGAAAGAGAGAGAGAGAGAGAAGTTCTACCTATTTAGATATATGTCACCAACATTATTTTTCTCTCTTTTTTTGTACATTGGTATCGCACACTAATGTCCTTTTCTTTTCTTTTGCACTTGTATAGTTGGGTTGATATATTAATAACGTATATCCAGAGAACTATAAAAAAAGTGTACAATTTTCCTCTTTCTTTCAACAGTAGAGAGAATAATAAAAAAAGAACTTTACGACCTGACCAGATAATTCTGGTACCAGAATGAAATTCCACAACAACCTTTTTGCATTTTGTTCTCTTATGATTTTTGAACGGTGAGACGCTCACAGCTCAGGAACGTCTCAGATTAAAGATAAAAGTGTGCTAAAGACTTTGAGATATTCTCACAGTCTACACATTCTTTCATGCAATAACTATAATGAAAAGACAAACACCTACTTTTCAAAACTTATTCTAAAAAGTGGGTGTTTGTCTTTTCATTATAGTTATTGCATGAAAGAATGAGTAGACTGTGAGAATATCTCAAAGTCTTTAGCACACTTTTATCTTTAATCTGAGACGTTCCTGAGTTGTGAGCGTCTCGCCGTTCAAAAATCATAAGTGAACAAAATGCAAAAAGGTTGTTGCGGAATTTCATTCCGGTACCAGAATTAGCTGGCCAAGCCGTTTAGTTGACTTATAATTTCGTATTTTTTGCATTAGTTAGTTGTAACATGAAAAGGTAAAACTTGAAACTGTAGCACTAAAGGAAAAATGATTGAAATGCAAAAAACGTTTACAATAATTTTATTGATACATATGCAAGGTTTGTTGGATTGTATAACTGTTAAATTGATGCAATGCAAAAATTATTAGCTCTATCTTTGTAGAATCAATTTAAATAAAACTAAATAATGTCAAGTAATATGAAAAAAATTTTAAATGACAAGCGGATAGAGTGTTTTGTGAATGAATCTAGACGACTTGCATGATCGATATTGTTGTCTATTGCGCCTGTTTATCTTTTTTTTAGATAGAATGGAACACTATAATATCCACAGTCACACGGTTACTCCTGTTTAGATAAAATTTCAAATTTGATTGAAATTGAATGACGTATAGTAAAAACAATATAAAAATCCAATAAGTATTTGAATAAAAAAAATCTGTATATGTGAACAAGTATAAAAACAAGAGTTTAAAATAATTTGCAAACATCTATCACATGTCGCCACGTTGACAAGGAAATGTGTAACAAAAGGGAAAAAAATGTTATTCTGTATGTTTCAAATTATGTTTTATAACAATTTATAAAGAAATTTTATACCATTAGGCACCTTCAATACATGTAATCCCTATTGAATTTTATACATTTATACAATCTGCTATTTTGGTTCCACTTTTCAATAGATGATTTAAAATGAACAATTATTTCTTCTCATCGTAAGTATTGTTAATAACACAACTAAATTTATCTATCAAATATAATATATATGTACAAACAAGCTTTTAGCGAAAAGATGTATATTGTTGTAGTTAATAATGAATCAAGTTTTCGACAAAATGATATAAAAATATTATATTTTATCCATTAGCGGGAATTTGGAGAATTACTTTGCGAGCCGATATTGACGTTAGCATTAGCTCCGCTTTTTTCTGCTCCTACAGCACCATTTAGACTTCCTTTACGTCCCATTGGATTAATTTTACCTGAATAATAGGGATAGCCACTACTACCTGATCCTGAGCCGTAAGTGTTTGGATAACGATTACTGTTCCATCCCGTATTCAACATCCCCGATCCGTAAATATTTGAACCGTATCCACCACTCCCATATGTACTGCCTAAATTTGGATATCCGTATTGACTGTTGTAACCGCTACCCAAACCAGTGTTATAACCATAACTACTACCGTAGTTATTCGAACCATATCCTGGATTATACGGAATATTATTCAGGCCTGTATTATACGGATTACCGTTGATGCCTGTATTATATGGAATATTATTCATACCCGTATTCGGATACCCATAACTTCCGCTTCCACCGTATCCATAATTTTGATTATAATTCGGTTGACCGTAGCTGCTGCCACTATAGTACGAACCACTAGGATATGTGCCTGAACCATAGGTTCCATACCCTGATCCATATGTGCCCGTTCCGTACCCTGATCCGTATGTACCCGTTCCATATCCTGATCCGTATCCACTATTCAATCCACTACCGGATCCAAATATACCACTTGATGACGTTTGCCGACGTTTTCGTCTTGATCGACCGTCGACAACTGTAAAGATAAATAAATTTTAGACAACTTGAATAATATATCTCTGTAAGTTGATACTAATATTGATGAGGTAACAGCACGAGTACTAGACGCATATTACTTACCCACTGTTGAAATAATTAAAATTAGAATTAACACTTTTAACAACATTTTTTCAAAATATCAAAATATCTGCGGGTGTACACACTAAAAAAATGAAATTATATATTAATTTCGTGTAGATCTCATTTTTTTTCTCCTCACTACTCTTGACGTATATATTTTTTTAATATGTATTATTAAGGTTGCTTTCTCTCTTTCTCTCTCTCTCTCTCTCTCTCTCTCTCTCGTTTATTTTTCTAGTTATTGATGGTATTGTGTGTTTTTTTTTTGATGAGGTCAAAAAAATTTATTTTTATTATATTGAATCTGTGATGAGTGACAATAATAAAGACGCCATAATATTTTACACCTCATTTTTTTTTTCATACACATGAAATACATTCAAATTCTCTTTTACTATTTCAGTAAGAATTATAGAAATAAAAATATTAAAAATCTATACATTTTTCGAGTTGTCCAAGGTTTTTTTATTCTTCAAATATGGAAGTTATTTGACAAATAACTACAGAGTGAGGCAAAAAAGTACAAATTTTATTCGACAACGTATTACCTGCATATCAAATAAAAAAATGATTTTAACCCCTTCAATGATTCATGAATGACATATACAAATGATTTTATAGCTAAAAATTCAAACATGATCGAGATACTAAATGACTATGAATAATAATAAGGTTTTTCATCTCTCATTAAATGGTGTTTAATGTCAAAACAAATTTAGCTTTTAAAAAACAACAAAAAGGATAGTGGAGATGAATTGCAAATAGTTCATGAGAAGAATTCTAAACTGATTTTCTTTTTGTTACAAATTTCTAAAGATTTTCATATTGTTTCTTCTATTATAACTATATCAGATATGCTCCATAGAGTCCATTTCTCCTCTCTATAAAATTCATTGTCCGCTTTTTTCGATTCTTGAGAAAATACCTAAAAGTTTAGAATCATATAGTTTGTAACTTTAATCTTAGACAATGTTGAATTTTGTGTTATTCGTCGTGAAATTACAATGCCACAATGGAAAAAAATTCTTTGCTCTTTCTCTGGACTTTTGGTCCTTCTTCATGAACCCACATATTAAACTCTTGAACGAATTACACATAGTTGAATGTTCAGACAGAACAGTATTCAATCATACTTCCTTTACACAAGAAAATTTCACTTTAGACAATAGATCGATTTCAAATAGTGGATAATAACCTTCATACCATGAACTATTTTTCCTAACAAATTTTTTTTTGTTGCAATTTTATAGTATCAGAAAAATAAGTCTGAAACGCCATATCTATCAATATCATAATTTGTCCCTGAGTTAAATGTTTCCTTGGCTTAAGAGAGACTTTATGTGTAAACTGTGGATTATTTTTGAGGGTTCGAAAAAACAACTGATACTGTTTAAACTTAAAACAATCGAGAAAATCCATGCTAACAAAACTTTTCGAAAACGTGCATTGAGTGTAGTAAGTTTCCACTCATTTTTTATCATTTTGTCAGAGCTCAAACTTTTCATTAATCTTTCCCTACTCATAGTACATCTTCGATTGTAGCGCAGAAACGTCCAGTGCTTCTAAGCTTTCGAAGAGGTTTTTCAAAAATCAATTGTTTTTTATATAAGATCCATTTCTCTCGATTAAAAACGTGTTTCTAAGCAAACTAAATGATTGATTTATTCGAAATCAGCCCGTCAAACTATATCGAATTATTTATAAAACAATAAGTTTTGAATGAAAAATATCGCAATCAAATTTTTTTACTCTTGTTTCATTTTTTGAAAAATTATTCTGATGTCGGCATTACAAGCCAAAATTGTCCACTGTACCCTCTCCCCTTATAAATGATTAATTGTTATAGTTGACGGTTTCCTAAAAGTAGATAAGGTTATATTTACTAATCAAATGTTCGATTCAGAAATTGTATAAACGAAATATATAATGTAATAACGAAACATTAAACGTGGAAATAATGTAATCGATAATTCGAAATATTCTGCTAATAAATAGTCTTCGTTACACCGATATTTATATCGGGTAGTGAGTAATGGTGAAGAATGATTAATAATGGAAAATTTGATAATAATAAAAATAGAAAAAAATTTAAATAATGTATATAATTTATCAACATGAGAATTAAAAGCATTCAGCGACTGATCAAAACGCTTGTTTAAATTGAAAAAGGCATACATGCTTTTCATTTAACTTAGATAATTGAACATTTGAACAATATCAAAATCTCATAGAGCTTCAAATAAAAAACAATTAATAATTCACTTTTCGACAATTATCTTGATCAATTTGATTCATTTTCATTTGACCTATGAACATCATTTTGGATTTATTATTTTCAGGATATAGTTTTTGATGCATCTTAATTATTTACACAAAATTTCAAGAGTTATGGGCTTGAGACAAATGTGAGTAGATGATAATAAAGCATCGCTGATACGTTATACAATCAGTATTTGCCTTCTTTATCATTATCGTGAACATGACCAGGGTGCTGGCTGCCAATTCGTCCTCATCTTTCTTTCTTTGGTCAGTTCTCTTTTCCAGTCAGTTATTCTCGTTTTCCTCTGTTTTATCAAAGACGTTAGAAAAATGCAAGAAAATCTGAGAGAAATCAATGAAAGCTATTATAAAAGAACATATCGGCGTAGCCAGCTAACGGTCCCTCTCAAGTCAGAACTTTCATGAAACTCAAAAATTTTTTATTCACTAGCGCGTTTAAAAGCACAGCATTGGATGCAGTTTATGACGGTGCTTACGAACATCAACTTCACTTTTTGCAGAAATGAATTTTAAGAATAAAAATTTTGAAATTTTCTAATTTCGAGGCTTAGGCATTTTCTTGAAAAAGTTTTAAAACTATATCATTTGATAGAGAATTCAGTTCTCTACAAAATGGCTGATTTTTTTCAAAGTTGCGACATTCTACAGAGAAGTTACAAGTTAAAAGAGATTTCTAGAAAAACAGCTTTTCAGTTAGTTAAACAAGTTTCGGAATTTTATTTTGGAGCTGTTTTAGTAAAACGCGTGTAAAACTATCTAGCGTGTATTCCTATTGAAATTACTTTTTTCTAAGCAACTTCGCTATCCAGTTTAATCTTCTGCAATGAAACATCGGAAAAACGATGCAATTCCATCACGAAGGGTATTTTCATCCTTTCATTTGATCTAATCGTGTATTTTGAAAACCAAGTAGATATTCTGAAACCTAGTCCAAAACTATATAGCTTTTATATGAAACATTTTTTTCTACCGTTATTTCGTAGAAAAATGAGAAAATTCACAAACATTCAAAAAAAAGTTCGAGTTTTTGAAATTCCCTCACAGGCTCTATTTTTCTCATAACTCGTGTTTAGGAGATCAACCAAACCGGACGAAATATTTTTTGGTAGTTCTCTATCTGTGATAAAAATTTCAGAAGTTTTGGTTGCACCGCTCGCGAGTTATAAGTCACAGAAGACAAAAAAATGAGATTCCGTCACACTTAGCCATGCCGATATCATAAAAAACAAAGAGAAATAGAAAACTTGTGATTTTGAAGAATTTTAAATATGGTCAGTTGATATAGGTTTTTAATAGCTACAAAATGGTCATCTTCTCGTTTTTCGTTCATAAGATATAAAGGACTGAAACTTAAAAAGTCGTTTTTTGAATTGGAAAGTAATGAAGATTGAAATGTCACAGTATTTTATCTATATTCCTTTATTTTTAGTGGTTGTAAAAAATTGTTCAGTATATTTTTTTGTAGAAAATAAAACGGTGAACCTTTAAAAGGAAGAAATAATTCTGTATCATTAAATGAAAAAAAGTTCTAGTCAAAATACTAAGAGACTCATTTATTCTGAAAGCGTCCGTTAGTAGTTCATCTTTTCCCTCTTATATACACACATACTTATGTATATTAAGCGTTCTCATCGAAGTATCTGCTTCGATAATTTAAACTATAGATGTTAATACCATAGCAAAGCATTCTGTCAAAGTTACCATGACAAATCAGTTTTGTCGAAAAAACCTTAATGAGCCGTTTATTCATTCATGCCAGCTTCTTATGAGAAAACGAATGATTATGTGTTTGATAGGTTGTTTTGTCGAAGTATATAGTACACACAGTGTATATTTTCACTCATCTACTAGTGTGAACCAGTAGAAGAATAAAAGTTATTTGTCTACAATGTGGTAATTGTTTCTTTTGAATAGTAATGACATGTTTAGTATGAAAAAACCGCAAGTAGAACAAGTAGAAACAACTAACATGTTGTGGTCAAATAACACTAAAACAGAGCTAGAAGAGAGAAATTATACAATCTGCTTCTTTTCCGTTTTATGTAAGCATTTTCAGTATTTAGTTGTTTCTCTGTGGTTATTTCAGATTTGATTCATACATGATTTTGTAGTCGAGTTCTAATCCGAAATGGGCATGTCACGGTGATTTTCAGACTGAAAAATACATTTCTCCTTTTCCCCCTTTTTCCACTGTAAAACCTCTTTAAAAAGTCTGAGATCCTCTTTCATTCCCTTTTTTCAGAAAACTGTAATTAGACGTCAGTCGGTGTGTCATAACCATACGAAATATCAATTTTACCGAAAAAGTAGTAGAAAAAAACACACACTCTGTATTTGGAGTCTCTTCTACAATTTGGTATTTGAGAATCATAAGAAGCCATGATTATATCCATAGAGCATTTTCTGATCCGTATAATAATTGACTTTTGAAACTTTTGGTAAATAATTTTCATATATTAAAGACTACTTTGGGAAAAGTTCAAGTTGAAAACATATTCTGAAACCGAATTTTGAATATTTTTTTATTATTATTCCTAAATGATATCCAAATCTCGTTTGTATTTTTCCATATACTATCACCAAGCATGAATATTTTGAACACATTCGAACACAATATAAACAAATTGCGTCGATCTATATGTTTCATTCATTCTCTTAAAACTAAACCAGCTCGTAATGAATTAAACGCTAAATGTGTACCAATGTATTTTCACAAATTCCTTCTAACAATTTGACTGTAGCAAGTGCGAACTTTTACACTTCTTAACATTGGAAAATGTTCATTAAAATCTCAGACAACAGTACTGAATTATACAAATACTTTTTATTCTTTAAAAGAAAGATCTTTTTATAACTGAAGACTTTTTTTTACAATACATATATCTTGGATATTCAATGAACAGGAACAAAATACATATAAAAAAAAGCGAAAGAAACGATATACAATTATGAATCAAGCGCGAGAAGAACAGAAAAATATTTCAAAAAAAAATGGCAACATCAACAGAAAAGAAAAAATTAGTGAGTATCTATGCATCATTTAACTTTTTCCATATAAAAAAGGAGATAGATATTCACACATAAAGTGATCATAAAAGAGAGAAAAGTAAAAAATTTAAACTATTGATTGTTTTATGTTTCAATAAACACAGCCCAGCTGCTTACAATAAAAGATATATAGATGAACAAGAAAAAAAAAACACACGGTTTATTAACAAAAATTATTTTAATGAATTATACCTTTTATTAACAAATTTTCAAGAGAAACACAAGACAAAAACAACAACATACATGTACAAATATTAACATTCTCAGTGTTCTTCGCGTTTGATAAATTAAAGAACAGAATCAGAAACTATTTACGCAGTGATTGCGCTGCTTCAGGAAAATGTACATAATAACGTTCAGGTCGTAAATACTTTGCCAAAATTTCTCGACCTAAATACAACGGGAGAAGTTATCGATAAGTATTAGGATAGTGCTATTTAATTCAATTTTTGCCTGGGCTTTTTATTACACATTACACTAAGCTTATGACCCTTTGCTTAAAAGCCATACTACCCACTCGGTGCAAAAAAGTCGCGATACGATTCTTCCGTGAATTGAAATGTAGTGGCAGTAAGCAATGTGAGAGTGAGTGTGAAAAGAATTTCATTCGCGGAAAAGTCGGTGTAATTTTATTTTACCTTGATAAATCCATTTATTAAGTAGCTGATAGCCTTGTGCTGCTGCTTCTTTTGAACCAAATTTAATATAGACAAATCCCTAGAAATTAAAAACATACATGCACTTTCTAATAAACAAAATATTGTGTCTGTAAATTATTACTTACCGAATTTATGCCAATATGTTCAATAGATCTGATGTTTGAGCAACGCTCTTGGATATTTGCAACAGTATTATCAATTTCGTTATCGTTAGGCATCCTAAACGACATTGAGCAAAATAGATAGTTAGTTATAAGTATAAATGAGAAAAACATGAGCAAGTTGCGGTACATACCTATCTGAACGGAAAAAATTTCTTAATTTTAAACATTCTGTAAGTCCCAAATCATTTGGCATGTAAATATAACTATCATTTCCCCCGCTACCACCACTCTTTGGAGAATCCTATAACAAAAAATGAGATATTTTATTTCTGGCTGGAAAAGTGTAGCAAAGCTTACATTATGCATTGATCGCTGATAGTCTTTTCGTTTTGTTGTTGGTGACAATGGTTGTATCCATCTCCAAACATCAAATTCTTCACCATGAATTAATTGTGATTCATGACGAACACGAGATTCATCGTTTGACATATGTGCTTTAATACGTTCCCATAACGATTTCAAACGTTTTCTAACGAAATAAAAATGCACGGAAAATATTGATTAATTTTCTATCTTTATTTCGAGTCATACCGATCTTTTGGAGGAATTAGAATATCATGAATATGGCTAATAGCTAGAAATGGTTTAGCATTTGAGTCATGTACGTGGGTTTCGTATTGATCCTCGAGCATGTCTGAACATAAAAGAAAGTATGAAGGAAGACTCATCTAATATCGATTTGCTGATTAATTACAAAGAATTTTTTGAATGAATCCATTGTAAGTGTGTTCCTCTTCTGTTTGTTGTTTTGAACGTCGTTTAACTAGCCATACTAGACTAACTAATCCCAATGTACCTTAAGTACAAAAGAAAAACAAATATGATGTGTTTTCTTGAGAAGTTCATCTATACCTGTCAATAACCATACTATGTTCTGTAATGCTGAATTGACGCCTTTTTTTGCTCGACACGATATTGAACGAATAGCTTCAGGTGTGCTTAATTTAAATGCCGTAGTCAAATCATGCGTAACATTTAGTTTATTATTGAATTTGTCATACACTCTGATGCAACAAAAAAAGCTCAAGATAAACCTATAAAAATAGAATATAAGTAAAGAAACTTACAGAATATCATCAACTGGTTTTTCGATGATATACGCGATCAATGATTTCCATCGCTCTTGAACCCCAAGTTCAAATTTATAATTCTAAAATTTATAACGGAAAATGACACTATAATGTGGACAAATAAATTAAAGATGCATACACGTTGATCAAGATATTTATCTATTTCAGGTTTCACAACTCGAATATCACTTATTGGACGAAAACCACAGTCAACTTCACCTACAAAAAATAACCATCAACGTTAGATCTATCATGATCTATTTCATATCACTTAACAAACCATGACGTATTTGTAAATGACGTCGAACATCGGCAACCATTGGTTCCATGTCAGAACAATAGGTCTATAAAAAACAAACAACTTTAAATATTACACAAAAGGAATAAATATCATTTGTTACTTACAGCGTTTTCGACTGAGCATGTAATGCCTAGAAAAAAGATAATAACATTTTAAAAACACAGATATTCGAAAGCATTTTTCTTACCTTTCCTATATGGAATAAGACCCGTCCCTTTTTGTCTTAAAAATATTAGTAAACCACCGATTAGTGTTCCAATCAATAATGCTTTGAATATATTCTTAATTACATGTTTGTATTGTTTCCACAGGTTTTTTAATGATTTCCAGGATTCTTTAAATTGTGCTGTCACCCATGGAGCTTCTTTGTACGTTTTCTTTACTTTTCTATCAGATGAATTGTCATCTGTTTTATGTTGATATTGTTGTGATTGAGATTGTTGTTGAGAATTAGAATAAGTACTATTGGTACGAGTCGGTGTTTCATTTGTTGCTAATGGTGCTAACATTCGAGTACGATCTTTGGCTGATTCTAGGAGTTGTTGTATTTCACGTCGATGTTTAGCAATGGATTGTTCCACATCATGAGTGATACTCGACGTTGTAGAAGATTTTTGTTGATCAGAAGTTAAACTATGATCATAGGGTTGACGAACTTGAGCTGAACGTTTCTGACTAATTGGAGATTTCTGACGAACGAGAATTGAACGAGAATACACATGATCACCGGAAGCGGTTTCTGTTTCGGAATCACTCAAGTCAATTAAACGACTAGGAGCAGGACGAATGGAGGATGTGGTTGATGATGTTGTGATGCGCGAAGAAGTGTTGGTTGAAGGACGATAAGATTGTGAATCGGATCGAAGTTGTCTTGTTTGTGGTTTTGCACGTAAAATTTCAAGACGAGCGATTAAATCATCTCGATTACGAGAAGTAATGGGTGGAACCATTTCTCCGTACTCTAGCAGCTCTTGACGTAAATCTAAATCGCGAACCATTTTTCGTTCTAGTCTGGAATAAACGAGAGATTCTTCACTGATCTCTGAATTCTAAAAGAAAAGTTGAAAACTGCTAATCTGATGAAAGTGAAGGAACTAAGAGAAATATGAGCAAAGTCAGAAATCACACCGTCGACAGTTTTCAGATTTTTACCACGGAAATTCATTAAGGTATCTGCCGATACTGTCATCACCATAAAAATTTCATACAGTGAAGTCAATTTATATAATATGTGTGTATGTAGGAAGGTGGGCATCTTGGATGTTGATCCGTCTCACATACAGAGACAAACCCTTTCAACTAGATGTTAAGTACTAGATTTAAGTCCTTAGTAAGAAGTCTCAGAAAACAAACAAATATCTAACTAACTCAGCAAGAACGACATCCATTCAATAAGGACGATAAAAAAAATTGAATGAATTTTTCTCGCTGGGAGGGAAATACATTATTTGAAGTCAGTGCAAAACTTCATATTAACTTCATTTCTCATGAAACACAGTTACTCAGAATATCATTACACACAAATCACAGAGGATCAGTTTAACGGACGTGACAAAAACAAAACAAAGTTAGATATGTGGAATCGATTTTGCGGTTAATCTTAGCAAAGTTTCTTGAATAAAGAAACGAAAAATTAAACTTTCATTATACACTATAGATTTTATCATATAGGGAACAGAAATTTTCTTTCACATCCCCTTATACAAAACAATGACAGTTGATGATTCACTCGCCTCTATTAGCAAGAAAGTCAGATCTCCAATCATATGCTGAAGGGTAACCTCTGGCAACGGACCAAAAAAACGAATTCGCTTTCTGGTGGATCGATTGGACACCACACAACTAGGAGACTTTGCATTCAGTTTGAATCTGTAAAAAAGAAGCTAGTACGCGCTAGGAATTCTAACAGAAAATGAGCAAAGGCGCCACCATCGCCTGAAAAATGTAGGAACACATGTTTGTAAAACAACAAGCAACGCGGACTATGTACGAACAAAAAAATAAAATTCACAACTCGTGGGAAAACCAAACATATCAGCCTGTATGTATCAGAGCACACATAAAAATACCTGTATCTAATGGAAGACAAAAAATTCTTTTGTTAACTATTATACACATTTGTAAAGAAACGTCTTAAAAAACAAATGTTCTTTTATATTTTCGACATTTTTAATACCCGGAAAACGAGTATAGTTAGAATCTCAAATGTTTACCATGTCCTGGTTATTGATACAATTGACCAAGATCTTGGAGACAGAAATTTCAAGATCTTGAGTAAAGAATTTTCTTTACATTTCGTTTTCATTCACTCTGTTTCATTCACTCTGTTTCATTCACTCTTTCATTTTGTAATCATGACTAGAATAATTGTAAAAATGGGTTAAAAATCAAAAGAAAATCGTGTTTATTTATTTTTTTGTTCGTGTATTCAAAACGAAATTTTGTTAAATAAAATATTCAGATCTAATCAACCTTTCTTGTATTATATCGGTTAATAAATGGGTGGCTTGTTGCATCTTTTGTTGGTTTACCTTATCAGCAGGCGTTATATCTTAAAAAGCTGATTTTAATAACTGATTCTTTGTTTAAAGTGAACAATTTTATAATAAAAATTAGGAATATATAGTTCTTTTTGCTAAATAGCCAAGAGCAGACTCTCTATTATCTCTCTCTTTAATTTATGAGAGAGTACGGCCAGTATTCCTGAATTCTAATTAGTTCTGTGTCAACTCGCCAACACATGAATAGCAATCCTTGAGCTCATAAAATACTTGCTGATGTTCTTCTTTTCTTCGCTTCTCTCCTCTCGCCGTCTGCCCAATTATAACGTTCACACTAGTTGTACTTATATACTATTCTATTCTCCTTGATCGTTTTCTTAAATTTTCGTTCAAACACGTAGCAAGCAAAAAAAAAGTTAATTGTGACTCATTTTTTTAATCCAAACTTCGTCAATATTTGCGAAGTTGTTATTTTTGTAGATTGTCTTTTGATTACATATCCAATATGTCTCTTTATCGTATATTGCTCGTAGTTCAAAGAATTGTTGTATACACTTTCGACATCGAATTGTTAATTTATAATGAAAACGTTTCAATTTTAATAATGGGACATGTTTTGAGGTATCATCATCGTTGCAATCTTCCATATAATTGCTACAAAGCTTGCCAATGATTGAGAATTTAATAAGGTTCGGCATGAACTTAAACATGGTAATTAAATATCGAAATGGAGCGTGTATGTTATTGAACTTTAAATAGCATAGATTTGATAATTCTTGAATAATAAATAGGGATTTCTCTATCCGATCCAAACAATTGACTGTTAAATAGCATAATTTTGGCCATACTCGACTTAACAGTCGAAATAAATCTTCTACTGAGCATGAGGAGATCCAAAGCGATCTCAATTGAGATAAATCATAAAAAAATGTTAAATCAAATATTATATGAACTCTTAAGCTGATTAATTGGTGCTGAACATGTTGATAAAAAGATTTAGGATCAACCCGTACAACAGCAGTTGTCGACGAAAGACGAAGACGGCTATCATTCACAATATTCATAAATCGCTCATTGAGACAGTTAAACGCTTTGTGAAGATGATAGGCATCCAGTTCTTCAAATATTAACATTAAAACATCGTCAGAGAGCTGTTCGAAACAAGTTACGTTATCAGACATGATCTAAAGTAGATAGTCTCTAATAATAAAATCTTATTTTTGAGAAAGCTCGAGTCGCCACCATTATACCAACTTTTGATTCTGAAAAAAGGTCACACATATACGCGGACTTTTTAAAAAAGCATGAAGAAAATAATTTTATCAGATCGCCAGACCTACAGTTAAGTGGCGCTAGTTTATTTGCATGCGTAAAATTAATGCACCTACCGCCTGTTTATCTGCCATTGTTTTTCATATAGAAATTAATAGAACACTGTATCGACTATTAAATCGGTCTGGATTACGTTTTCCGAAATTGATTCATTGATGCACTTGGAACACTTGTGATTAGTAGAGTCTATTATGATTTATGAAGGAGTAAAGAATGGCAATATTTTCGGCCGAAGGTAAAAAAACTGACACTGACGCTGAACTGACGCTTTTTGATTGGTCAAGTCCATAGTTACTCCAATCAAAAAGCGTCACTTCAGCGTCAGTGTCAGTTTTTTTACCTCGGGCCAATATTTTCTACTTTTTGACTTTGGCACCGTTGTTACGCAAGAACCCGTATATTACAAAAAAAAGGTAACGCTCGTCTCCATTTGCTCGGTCCCTTCCTATAGGATCATATGGGATCTTGTAAGATCCTATCGGATCCTAAAATATGATCTTGTATAATCCTATGAAATCATATAGGACCTTACAGGAAACACATCTGCCATCTTAAAGCAAGAAAGGACCTAGGATTCCTATTATAGGATCCTATGATATCCTACAATAGGAACTTATAAGATCCTCTATAATCTTATAATAGGATTTGATAGGATTTTACATGATCAGCTAGGATATCATATAGTTTATCCTACTAAGTTTATTATTTTTATTTGTTTAATTGTTCTCTGATCCCAAGTAGGCAGAATCAGGTGATTCTAAGCTGGGATAAGCCCAAGACTTGTGAGCTTTACTCGCTCACACATCGTCGAATAATATTGCGAGTTTCGATGGCTCATAGAATTTCGAAAATTCGAGCCTAAAAGAATTTTTCATTTTCTGCAATAGAGTTCTATTTATATTATAGTTACTACAAAACACGTCGATGATTGTGTTCTCGTATAGAAAAATAAAAGAAAATATAAACGAAACGAAAAAATAGGAATCCTACAAAATATTATCATAGGATTTTGTAAGAAATGCATAAGATGTCTATTTATAGGAATCCAATGGGATTTTTGCTACCGTCCTATATCAAGAATCGTATGGAATTCCTGCTGTAGGATTTTATAAGATCTCACAATAGGAATCCGATGAAATCCTATTATCAGTAGGATCCTATAGGATCTTGTAGGAACCTAGTAGGATTGTTTGACCTGGATTGACTTTTCTAACTTGGATCTGCCCAAGCGAACGCCCTTAATTGACCTTTAAATCCACGACAATGCTCAAGCCTCCCTTCGGTCGGCGTTCGCTGGGAACCTAGCTAAGACAACTTCTGGATTTTTTCTATATCCAGATGTAAGATTCGTAATCTAATATCAATATCAAAAGCAAAATCTCCAGAGGTTTAAAAATATTTCTGAATTGTAGCGCTTCCGTCGGTCGGCATTCGCAGCCAGTATAGCTGAAAAACGCTGTGAACTTCTCTGATTCCACCGAAAAAACATCTAAAAGCTAGGGTTGGTTATCATTGACCCCGAATTAGTTACCGCAAATCAATCCTCAAATCGGGACTTTGATTTAGGGATTATTTTAATGAAATATATCATACATTCTGTACTTCAGTACCATTCTTTTTCTCATTCCAGACCATATTAACAAAAATAAAACTTTCGAACTCATATCTGTTGGAGGTATTTACTTTGGATTCACTAAACACAATGAAGACAGTCTTACGATGAATCTGGTGACCAGAAAGTATCTTGGGTCACTACAACGAACAATTGAGGTAAATCTGGTGACGAGAATATATTTGGGCTCTCTATTTTTTTCTCTAGA